TCTTTTTCTCTGCAGTGAGAACGTTTTTGATATCGGGTAACGTTTCACCAAATGAAGTGATTAGAAGACAGCAGAACTCTGATCGTTTCCTGATCGTCTCGCTGCCCTCGGCGGGAGAAGAACCGGCTGAAACGGATCAGCTGCTGGACGCTGCAGAACCTCTGGCTCCAGATCAGAGACGGTACTCTGAAGATATTGTTCTTAAAATGATCCATAGTAAGCTCATCGATAGAGTGAAGTTTCAACGTTACTCTGTGCGTAATGTTGAAACTTTCTGCACACCAAGTGGTCAGCTGCACATTATCACAGTCTGGATAGAAACCAGCGGATGCTCTCTGTGCTTATCAAGACATATTTCTAAACTTTTTATGGATTATAAAGAACTGCAAACGGTCATTCTGTGAATGTGCAGCATTAAGTGGTCACATGTACTAAAATCAAAAGCTATTTCAATCAAATACATCTTAACACACAGTTAGATGTTAACATAGGAACTTCTTTGATATCACTGAACAATTCTTGCATCCATTGAACTTGTGAGTTTGTGGAAAGTTTCTGCTTGAATTTCTTTGCAGGATGTCAGAAAATCTTTCCAGAGCTGCTGGTTGATATGACCTGCATATAGCAGGTTGGGGGTCCAGTAGCAGGTTGGGGGTCCAGTAGCAGGTTGGGGCCCCTGTGGATCCTCCGCCTTGAGGCTCCAGCAGCTTTAATAACTGTTTGCTGCTTTAAGGTCATTTCAGCAGCTGATCTCTTGATCCCCGGAATCATCAGAAACTTTCCTCTTTAGTCTTTATCTGTAAACCATCTTTGTTCTCAATCAGCCACAAATCTCCTCACAGTACGATGAAAACGCTTCAGTGTTAAATATCTCATGTTTTCATAGTTTGTCATGCGTCTCTACACTCTCTGATGGTTTCATCAGCAGAGATTCTTTCTCCTCCCATGTTGCTGGAATCCTGCGGCCTGATGAATAATGTGGAACATCCTTTTTAAGTACCATATTTTCTGGACCATAAGCACCGACTTTTGTCACATGCTTTCAACACTGCAGCTTATGCAATGATGCGGCAAATTTAAGCATTTTTTCTAAAGGCCACCAGGGGGCACTCAAGCATAAAAGGTAGGAGTGAGATATGTGGAATATATGTGTCGAGGAAGACGCATATTCAATGTAGCTTCGCGCTTTGTGCATGAATTAAATTAACAGACCCTCATCATGAAAAGTGCAAGAAGAAATGCATATGATGTAGATTTCAAGTGAAAACAATCGATCTGGCTGATAAAGAAGGAAACAGAGCTGCTGTACGTAGGAATATGAGGACGGCCCTCAGTGACTTTTACCGGAATGTTTTTTAACCAGCCCTGTTACTGCTGTGTTACTATTGTGTTACTACTGTGTTACTGCTGTGTTACTGCCCTATTACTGCTGTGTTACTGCTGTGTTACTAATGTGTTACTGCTGTGTTACTACTGTGTTACTGCTGTGTTACTAATGTGTTACTGCTGTGTTACTGCTGTGTTACTAATGTGTTACTGCTGTGTTACTAATGTGTTACTGCTGTGTTACTGCTGTGTTACTAATGTGTTACTGCTGTGTTACTGCCCTGTTACTACTGTGTTACTGCTGTGTTACTACTGTGTTACTACTGTGTTACTGCTGTGTTACTGCTGTGTTACTACTGTGTTACTGCTGTGTTACTAATGTGTTACTAATGTGTTACTGCTGTGTTACTACTGTGTTACTGCTGTGTTACTACTGTGTTACTGCTGTGTTACTAATGTGTTACTGCTGTGTTACTGCCCTGTTACTGCTGTGTTACTACTGTGTTACTGCTGTGTTACTACTGTGTTACTACTGTGTTACTGCTGTGTTACTGCTGTGTTACTACTGTGTTACTGCTGTGTTACTAATGTGTTACTGCTGTGTTACTGCTGTGTTACTAATGTGTTACTAATGTGTTACTGCTGTGTTACTACTGTGTTATTACTGTGTTACTGCTATTACTGCTGTGTTACTGCTGTGTTACTGCTGTGTTACTGCTGTGTTACTGCTGTGTTACTACTGTGTTACTACTGTGTTACTGCTGTGTTACTAATGTGTTACTGCTGTGTTACTAATGTGTTACTGCTGTGTTACTGCCCTGTTACTGCTGTGTTACTACTGTGTTACTACTGTGTTACTGCTGTGTTACTACTGTGTTACTACTGTGTTACTGCTGTGTTACTGCTGTGTTACTACTGTGTTACTGCCCTGTTACTAATGTGTTACAGCTGTGTTACTGCTGTGTTACTAATGTGTTACTAATGTGTTACTGCTGTGTTACTACTGTGTTACTACTGTGTTACTGCTGTGTTACTACTGTGTTACTGCTGTGTTACTAATGTGTTACTGCTGTGTTACTGCTGTGTTACTGCTGTGTTACTACTGTGTTACTGCTGTGTTACTAATGTGTTACTGCTGTGTTACTGCTGTGTTACTGCCCTGTTACTGCTGTGTTACTAATGTGTTACTGCTGTGTTACTGCTGTGTTACTAATGTGTTACTGCTGTGTTACTGCTGTGTTACTAATGTGTTACTGCTGTGTTACTGCTGTGTTACTGCTGTGTTACTAATGTGTTACTGCTGTGTTACTGCTGTGTTACTACTGTGTTACTAATGTGTTACTGCTGTGTTACTACTGTGTTACTACTGTGTTACTGCTGTGTTACTAATGTGTTACTGCTGTGTTACTAATGTGTTACTGCTGTGTTACTGCCCTGTTACTGCTGTGTTACTACTGTGTTACTACTGTGTTACTGCTGTGTTACTACTGTGTTACTACTGTGTTACTGCTGTGTTACTGCTGTGTTACTACTGTGTTACTGCCCTGTTACTAATGTGTTACAGCTGTGTTACTGCTGTGTTACTAATGTGTTACTAATGTGTTACTGCTGTGTTACTACTGTGTTACTACTGTGTTACTGCTGTGTTACTACTGTGTTACTGCTGTGTTACTAATGTGTTACTGCTGTGTTACTGCTGTGTTACTGCTGTGTTACTACTGTGTTACTGCTGTGTTACTAATGTGTTACTGCTGTGTTACTGCTGTGTTACTGCCCTGTTACTGCTGTGTTACTAATGTGTTACTGCTGTGTTACTGCTGTGTTACTAATGTGTTACTGCTGTGTTACTGCTGTGTTACTAATGTGTTACTGCTGTGTTACTGCTGTGTTACTGCTGTGTTACTGCTGTGTTACTAATGTGTTACTGCTGTGTTACTGCTGTGTTACTACTGTGTTACTAATGTGTTACTGCTGTGTTACTACTGTGTTTTACTGTGTTACTGCTGTGTTACTACTGTGTTACTGCTGTGTTACTAATGTGTTACTGCTGTGTTACTGCTGTGTTACTGCTGTGTTACTAATGTGTTACTGTTGTGTTACTGCTGTGTTACTACTGTGTTACTGCTGTGTTACTAATGTGTTACTACTGTGTTACTGTTGTGTTACTGCTGTGTTACTACTGTGTTACTACTGTGTTACTAATGTGTTACTGCTGTGTTACTACTGTGTTACTACTGTGTTACTGCTGTGTTACTACTGTGTTACTGCTGTGTTACTGCTGTGTTACTAATGTGTTACTGCTGTGTTACTAATGTGTTACTGCTGTGTTACTGCTGTGTTACTGCTGTGTTACTAATGTGTTACTGTTGTGTTACTGCTGTGTTACTACTGTGTTACTACTGTGTTACTGCCCTGTTACTAATGTGTTACTGCCCTGTTACTACTGTGTTACTACTGTGTTACTACTGTGTTACTGCTGTGTTACTGCTGGAGCTTCTAGCCCACAGAACCTTTGGCTCAGGTTTCTCCAGAACCACATCAAGTGGGAGTGAATGAGAGTAGGTGGGTCTCTCTGCTGTCTGGGCTGTGATTGGGCAGAAATCAGGAAGTCTTTTAGCAGTGGGAGAAGCTGGTGAAACCCGGATTGTTCTGGATGTTTCCCCGGGTCAGAACCATCATTATTCTGAACCAAATGTTCTGGAGAAAAACCTGGACAAATTCCTTAAACTGCAAAGGAATGAGAATGATTACTGGTCAAGAAGCTAGACTGTGGTTCTGTGAATGGTTCTGGTGATTTTGATGGTTCTGGTGGACCAATCGCCTGAGGTGTGGAGCTGAGCACTGGAGTCGGGTCAGAACCAAATCTTCCCCACCCAACTGCACGCCTCCGGTGAACTTAAGAAAGCAGACACCAATAATAACCTGATTATTGATCCATATTTGGATCATTGATTGCCTCCAAGTGTCATCACCTGGCTGATCAATGAACCTTATTGATTATACATTTGATGAACTAGAAATTCCAGAGCCATCCATCATTGACTTTCATCTTTAAATCTTCTGTTATATTATCAGAATAATTAGTGATCATCATCATCATCATCATGTGTCTGAAAACTTCTCTATAAATAAAGTTTGATTGAAGACCCGGTCCGAGTGGAACCAGGTCGGAACCAGTGGATGACTCCTGTTCCCTCTGGTCCGGCTGAAGTTCTGCTTCCAGAGCAACCAGAAAACCAGAACCTCACCAACCCGATGGTTCTGTTCCGGATGATGAACTTGTGTGTGCGTGTGTGCGCGCGCACACTCGCTGATGTTGCGCAGATACATTTCTGTCTCACCTGCTGCGTTTCATGGAGAAGTTCGGGGTTCGGTAGTTTCCGGCAGTTCCCGGTAAATTCCGGCAGCTTCGGGCCGCAGCAGGTCCAGGTTCGGTTCTGCTCTCGGTTCTTCGGCCTTCTTTACTTTATTTACTGTTTCTCTCTCCTTTCAGCCATCTTTCTGCTGTGCACGCGCCTCGGCACGCCCCCTGTCAGCCGCGCACGGAGAACAGTGACCAACCAATCAGAGCTCAGAGCCGTCAGCAGCTTCCTTGTTCCTCCAATAGGAAGCGTCGGTGAGGTGACTTGAGCGGGTCACGTCCTTCTCACCGCCGCCGGAGCAGCAGGACTGAAAACAACCCATGAAGGCGGGGCTTAGAAGGCAGGATGATCCGGGATGAGGTCGTCAGCTGCTGGAAGACGACGGTCCCGAAACGAGACCAGAAAGGGTCAAAGGTCGCTGTGACGTCAGTAGGAGGTCAGAGGAAAGTTTAACAACACTGTCAAAAAAATCAGCCACTGAATGAGACACTAAATCCTCCCCCCACCCCACTGACCTCTGATTATAGCTTTAATCAGCTTTAATCATGAAATCATGAAGTTTGGGGTTTCTGCTCGTTGCCTCGGCTCGAGGTTGGATTCTGTTCAGATCTTTTACTGAAGGTTAATTCATGATTTGACTATTGTTTCTTAAACATACTTTAGAAATAAAATGTTTTTTTAACCATGGAACATTACTCCCATTCTTAAATAAACTCCAATTGAATTTTGGTTTTACAGTTTTGAAATATGTTCAAATCTCAGTTGGATTATAAAAACAAACTGAAAAAATAAAAATAAGTTGCAGAAGAACCTGTTGATAGTTGTATCAATAACTATGAGGTCGTGAACATCATATTTCCATCTAAAATAAAACATTTAGTCAGAAATTTAAATATATCAATAGTGTTTATTATTTGTTTATGGAATGAACAAACAGGCAGCTGTGCTTTAAATCTTTGGTTACATCATCTGTTTACAAACATACTGATAAAAAAAATCACAAGTGCTTACTGGGCGCGTGCAAAACTAAATAATAATACTGCCAGGAACATCAAGTAGGACCGAGAACGCTCTCACAGTGACAAAACCTGTACCGATAAACGCTGAACCCTTGAACCCTGCAGACAAAACCGGGCCCCACCCCACTGTACCCAAGACGGCAAAACCCCTCAGCATCTCGAGTCCCTAACAGAGGCTGCAGTTCGCCTCCTTGGGCAGCAGGGGGCAGCAGAGCAGTGACCCTGGGGGGCAGCAGAGCAGTGACCCTGGGGGGCAGCAGAGCAGTGACCCTGGGGGGCAGCAGAGCAGTGACCCTGGGGGGCAGCCTATCCTCAGCAGTGGAGCATTTTGACTTCAGTCGTGCAAAGAGAAACTTAACTACAGAAAATTCCTTGACTTTCAGAAAAGTAATCTTCTAGAAGCGATCCAATTGGCTCTGGACTCACCAACTCCCGGTAGGCAGATCTGGGTTTTGGTCCAGACAAGGTGATGAGCAACCCCCCACCCCCCTCCACTACCCCTCTACAGGCAGATGTTGATCTGCTTGGCCAGCTCCCGATCCAGGTCGTGGATCAGGGTGTCAAAGTCCTTCAGGCTGAGGCGACAGTTGAACGGAGCATCAAAGTCCATGAAGTCGTCTACGAAGTGGCCTCCTCCTGTGGCTCCGGGAGGCCAAGCCTCCTTCTGGTCTTCCTCCTCCTCTTCCTCTCTGCTGCCTGAAACACGGAGCAGAGCGTGACACGAAGCCTTCAGCCAAACCTGAAGTCTGAGCCGTCCCGGAGGTCGGAGTTTTACCTCCGTCGCTCTCACTTCCTGCCACCTCGTCATAGTCGGCTTCATCCTCTGCCGGCAGGTCAGGCCTGCAGACGGTCCAATCCCCGGCATACCGGTTGACGGGGGGCGGGCTCTCCAACCGGGCTGGTCCGCCGCGCCCCCGACGGGACACTACGCCGTCGGCGACGGGAAGCCACGGTTTGACCTGGAGCTGCCGGGCAATGGAGGGACAGGATGGAGGGGAGGGATCGTCCACTTGCACTCGCTTGATCGGCACTAAGGAGGAACACGGGGAACGTGAAGATTGAGAAAAGTGAATGTTGTGAATGCAGCAGCAGTCGGTCGGCTCGGCTCACCTGGCCAGAGCTGCAGCAGGTAGTGCAAGGCCTCGATGTGCCGCTTGAAGTCCACTGCATCGGCCATCTCCTCCCCTGGACCGAGGGTCTTGCCCCGGCCCCCTCGGCCAGCCGCCCGGCGGGCCTCCTGGGTTGGGGTGAGAAGAACCGGCCCAAAGCAGACGGCCAGATTCTGGTGTGTCATTCGGTTGAAGGAGCTGAAGGATGCGACCAGGCTGAGGTGATCCAGCAACATGGACAGCGTGGCCTGGAGGTGGGCAGGACCCATCAGCTACAGATAAATGGAGCCCTGAGAGGGCAGCTGTGATGTCACTGCTGTGATGACATGAATGTAGTGTACTGATGAACTGCACTATGAACAAAATGACTATGGCTCCCTAAACATATGAAGACTTTAACAGAGGCGACTGCAGGAAGGAAGTACTCTTGTTACGTTCTGTTGTTTTTGTATTTTAGTGTTTCATTTTCATTCTCACTTTTTCGTTCTGGATTTTTGTTGAATAAATAATGACTGTAAAGATTCTGGGGTTCTGTTTGGACCCTTCAGAATCATCCGTCAGAAGGGTTCCTACGAGCCCAACCCAATCACCAACAGACCCACAAATTATGGTTCTGTAGAACCGCAGACATGATTAAGGCACCTTCTCTGGCTCCGGTAGACAGGACAGGAGTCTAACGGTGCATTGGGCCGCTTCTGGGTCGGGAGTCTCCAGTGGTGGCCGCAGGGTCATGGCCTCCCGGACCACCTGGTACAGAGTCCCAGTGATGAGCGGCGATGGCAGCTCACGGAGGTAGTCCTTAAGAACACCTGGGGAACAACAGGGTTGGTTCTGGATGATTCTGATCCAGCCCAACTGGTCAGTTTATCAACATAACAACAGTTTACACCCAACACTGTCTCGAGGCCCGTTACAGAGAACGTCCAGTCAGAATTCAGAAAACAAGCCAATCAGTACTGAGTACAAGGTCTCTGGTTCTGTTTAGTTCGGGGTTACTGATACCTCTGGGTTTGGACCGAGCCAGCAGTTTAGAACCAAACAGTCCACCTCTCAGTGGATCCAATTCTAAATCAAATCCTCATGGAAAATTATCTCAGGACTGAGTGAAAACCTGAGCTTGGTTTGGTCCTGCACCAGGTTTTGGTTCTGACCCGGTTCTAGTCACTGACCTGTGATGACGTTGACGTCGGGGTACCGGTCCTCGGACAGACAAACGGCTGAACTGTTCTTCTCAAACCCATCTCTCAGTTCCTTCTTGACGGCCGCGGAACCGCACAACCGGTACAGACCCACCACCTGCACAAACCCAGGTCTGGTTCAGTCTTGGGTCGGTACTGACGGATCAGAGCGGTCGCAATAGAAAATAGAAAAGGGTTAGTTCCCACCTTCAGTCCTCGTCTCTCTATTTCTGCCACCGTCTTCTGGATCAACAAGGGAACTGGAGCTGCGCTTCCTTCTTTCTCCACCAGGTGGTGCAGTTCAACCCCAAACACATTAGCAGGAGTTGAGGGATCCCTGCCGTGCTGCAGACACAAACATTCAGATTCCCAGCATCTCTAGGCTTTTTAACACATACTGTGTGTGAAAAACTTTTAGACTTTTTATGTATGTGTAAAGCACACATACATATGTGCATGTATGTGTGCTTTCTCTCCCCTCCTGTTTGTAAGGAGAGGAGAGAAGAAGTAGACAAGCAGTAAATGACCTGAGGCTGGAAATCCAACCCAGGAAAACCACAGCAAAGGCTACAACCTCTGCACCCAGTGCGCCCTCTATGGGACTCCCAGTGCATCGCAACAGCAGTATTTCTAGAGTTCACCAGGATCTCCCAGGTTACCTGGGTGACCCACTTTTCCTGCAGAGTCAGTTTGACGTACAGCAGTCCTCTGGGCTCCAGCTTCAGGCAGAGCTGCTGACTGCGACTTCCTGAAACAGAAACAAGCGGCAGATTTCAACCCGACTGAATCATCATCACTTCCTCAGGATCAATAACCAATATCAGGAGGAATGTGATCGACTTTAAAGAGCGGTGGGATGGAGACGCCACCCAGACAGCAGACCCGGTTTCTGTTTGGACCTCCAGCAGAATGACTCTGGTCTGGTTTGGCTCCGCCTACCACTGATGGAGCTGCTGCAAAACAAAAAGCACTTGTTTTGCCAACAGTCCTAACCATGGGTGGTCCGGGTCAGGGTCCGGTTCAGGGTCCGGGTCAGGGTCAGGGTTAGGGTCAGGGTCCGGGTCAGGGTCAGGTCTGGGTTATCCAAATGTAGCTGGAGTCGGGATCTAGACCTCCCTAGAATGAAGCCGGTACCTGGCGTTAGCACAGGTATCCTTGTACCTGGCGTTAGCACAGGTATCCTTGTACCTGGCGTTAGCACAGGTATCCTTGTACCTGGCGTTAGCACCACGATGCGTAGCTGCCGGGCCCTCTCCAAGTCAAGGTGAAAGGTGTGGTTCAGGGGCCGGTTGTGGCCTCTGAGGGTCAAGAGGGCGGTTCTGGCTCTTGTCACCCCATCGACTTGGATGGCCAAGAAGATTTCTTTGCTGTCCTCTGATCTAAGACCAGAAGAGGCACAAAGTGCTTCAGACTAAAGCAGGTTTAGAGACATTACACTGCAAACTGGAAGCACATTTTCCATTTCACAGACAAAGTCCAGGACCGGCTCTGACCAGTCAGCTGTAGTTTACCTGCTGCTCTTCATCTCCTCCAGGCCCAGCAGGTGCACTGTCAGTAACCCCGTCACCCGCTGGCTGCATCGCGGCGGATCTGATCCCACGTACAGCTGAAACGAACTGACGTCACTCCAAACTTCCTGGGATGCTGTGAGGTCAGCAGTCTGTTGTCGGGGCAACAGCTCAGGGGAGTCTCCGTCACTGAGGTACCCTGATAGAAATAAAAGGGTTGCATCGGCTACTGGGTTCGTTAGGCTCACCAAAATCAGCGTGCCAGACTCTACAGTTTGGTCACATCTTTGGTTGCTGACAAGGATGAAGACATATCAAAGGTACAGAAGCCGACTCCCAACCTCACATTCAGTCACAGACCTCAGGAGGAGGAGGACCTGCAAAGGGTCAGCTAGCCTGGCTAACCAGCAGCAGACAGTGACATCCAGAACATTACCAGACATTAACCAAGAGTTACTGTCTGTAGCAGCTGCAATCAGCCAGTGTTAGAAACAACAAACCGACTGTTGCCCAGAGGTTTTAACTAAGCCTTCAAGAATTCTGCAACTCGTCCACCGCCACCAGGAATAGTTCACCCATTAGTATAGTAACTAAGTAACTGAGTTGTATTAGTAACTAATGGCTCAACTAATTAACTATTAGTTACTACATTAGTTTAACTTAAGCAATCTGAGGCAACCAGAGGCCTGGAATGGAGGAAAGAAGGAAGGCAGAAAGGAAGGAAGGACCTCCTTTGCCGGCAGAGCGTTGTCTCGATGATCGATGGCGAGGACGCGCTGGGGGGGCGGAGCTGTCCAGATGGTACCTGCTGATGACGTTCTGATTGGCCAGGACCGGGGATGATGCTGCGTTGCTATTGGTCGGTTCGTCCCCACCTCCTCCGCCGGTCTGGCGGTTAGTACGGGAAGATGAACGTAGACTGAGTTTTCGCCGGAGTTCAGGAAGTTTCTTCATTTTTAAAGAGAGTTTCCGAACAGTACCAGGAGACCTCAGCCTGTCCATCACACTCCCAGCTCCGCCCCCTTTGTTTTGGGCGGGGGGGCTTGATTCTGAGGCAGGGTAGTCTGAAACGGAAGGATAATCTATGAGCAGCTCACTGCAATCAGACAGCAACTGGTGGAAAGAAGCAGCTTACCTGAGATTTCTTCAGTAATGTCAGGAACCTGGTGACTGACGCTTGGATTGGCGCCCTCCTGTGGACGTTCACAGCTACAACCGTGTCCTCTGAAATCAGAGACCTCCTGCTCTTCATCCCTCCTCTTCCATACCTCCTCTTCTGTCGGCGGGCCTCCTCCATCCTCCTCCTCTGGGATGGGATTGTACCAGATGTTGCTGCTGCTGCTCTCCTCCAGAGAACAAAACTCATCATCCTGGGACTTTCCTGAAGACAGGACCCATGCTCGGCTGCTCCGCTCCAGGCTCTGCAGGTACGCCCGCTGGCCGGACAGCTTGGCGCTGACGCCTGGGGTGAGAATCTCAGTGGCGCCCCCTGAAGCTTGGGAGTCTTCCTGATGCGTACTGATAACTGCATCCCTAAGCGGCACGGCTTCGGCATGCGCCTGAAAACACGGCAACACGGGTTACAACCTCCAACAGAGACAAGCAGCAGAATCCATCACTAAACTGAAATCCAGCCGCAGTCAAACTGGAGGAACCAGAGAGAGAGAAGGATGAAGGATCAACAGGAAGCACCTCCCATCTGAATACCTTGTCGCTCCAGGTCAGCCCAGATTCATGGTGGGATATCCATGACAACCACTGGTCAGAGGTCATGTGGGCGGAGCTCAGACTAGAAGCTTCCTGCCACGCCCATTGCTGTTTCTTAGCAACTGTGATGTGATTTGGAGGAGGAGAGCTGGGGTCAGGGCAGGGGTCAGGGCTGGATATGATGTTCAGTGACGGTGATGATGGAGACGTCTGAATGGCAGCAGAGCTGACTGAAGGCTCTGAAAAAAACAAAAGTTCTGCATCATTAAACACATGAACACGCCGTCTGCTCTGGACCACCTGATGGCGTCTCATTTCCTTCCTAAGGCTTGCTTAGCTTCAGCTCTTGGCTTAACAACGTCGCCGTTTCTCTGGTAATGTTGCCTTCCTGTTCACTTCATTGAGTCCCTGAAGGGCAATTCATTAGCAACTAGTGGTGGAGGCCAACACATTCACACAAACACCTTTATGCAACAATTAATTAGGCAAATCAGAGATCAAGAAAATAAAGAATACACAAAAAACATGAGCAGATGTCAAGTCATGGCATTAAAGCTACAGTTTATTTAAAGAATGACAGTGAGGATAACAGAGTCTAATCCCTTTGTTCTACGGTGAAATCCATCAAGACCTTTTTATAGTTAGGAACGCCAATCCGGACTTGAATTTGTCTTTAACGTCATTCAAATGAATACCAATTATTTTTCCAAATCCAATTGTGCATTCTTTGATAAAAGCTTTGTCCAACAGGAGATCAAGGGTTTCCACCTGGCAACGCTCCTCCAGCATAGACCAGGCAGTGGAGACTGCAGGCCGGTTCACTGACGCTACACTCCGATAGTCCTAGACTGCAGGTCAGCACCAGTCTCTCCAGGATTCGACCAGGTTCACCTGCTGAGAATCAGACTCCAGTAACTGGCAGCTTCATCGTCAGAGACATTAGAGACACGGCAACCACAGGGAGGTTTTACACCAGCGGCCACAAGGGGCAACATCCACACAACTGGAGGTCACCAAAGTCAGTTCTGCTTCGGTGTGTCAGTTTGCCAAAACAATGGCAGATGGTATTTGATCAGGAAATGAAATTAGAATTTAGCAACTTTGGATTTGTGTCCACTGCAAGTTTCATATCAAAAACCTCCTCAGGCCACAGCAGCCAGACTGTCGACTACTCACACAGAGTTGATTCACCCCAAGAGGAACATTTAAACTGTTAAAGTTGTTACAAAGAGACGATGTACCTCTGACTAGCTCTCCTCACCTCAAATACTCTACAGTCTACTTCACATTA